ATTAGACTGCTGTTACATCTTTTAGTTAAATCCATATTTCTATCTATATTAAGCACGTGTTTGTTTTGCTTATCCTATACGTAGTTGAATTGCTTGTTTGTTTACATTCTTGTGACCAAAACAGATCTGCGATACTAGGTTAGTACCAATTCCCCAAAATGTTACAATTTCCAAATTTTTTGAGTGTTTTCTTCAAGAAATTTTCAGTTTCTTTGCTTTTCTATATTTTATTCCTTGTGTTTGTCTATTTCTTCTCTTTTTATATACCTTTCTTGAATGCTCTTTCTTTTTACTTAGTTTTGTCAAAGTAGTTTAGAAGGCCACTTTTGCGTAAAATCAGTTTTCCTTTTGGTTGATTTTGTGTTTAGATGATCAACGAGGAGAGTGCTCATTGAGTATTTTTAAATGCAGAAAGATTGTTCAGATATATATTATTTTGTAAATTTATAACAAGATAAAAAAAAAATATATTATGGCTTCAAGTTCTGCTCAAATAGAATTAAAATATGAAGAAATAGAACAGTTAAATTTGATTTGAGTATTGTGTTTAGAAATCCATTTAAGTTTAATTTTAGGATGTAATATACAGGCATTAATAATTGAGGTATCTATATAGAAATAGGTATTATTTAGAAGATTTTTTACTAATAAAAATAATTTAATAAGCCGATTTAAGTAATTAAAAGGTAATATATATTTTTGTATTATTTGAATTTCTATTTTAGGAATATATATAATTAAAGTTTGAGTTAATACAAGTAATAAAAAAGTTTACTGTAGTATATTGATAAGTATATGAATTATTTTTTTTTAATAATTTAATATTTGAAATATTAATGAAGGTTTGAGATATTGGCATAAATGAATTAGTAGGAGCCAAAGATATTAAGCCATAAGCAGTATTGTTAATTGAGAAGAAATTAAGTAAAGTTTTTGTAAAAAGAATTTAAAAATTATTAAGAAGAATAGATCATTAATTTAGTAGTAATAAGTGATAAGATGTAATTGTATTAAAAGAATTAATTAAGCTATTAGTATTAGGTAGGTTAAGATGTGGCCATGTTTGGTAAATAGTATTGTTTTAAATAAGATTATATAGCTTAGTAAACCAAAAAATTAAATCTATATATAGATTTCTTAATTTGTATATATATATTATTCTAAGATAAAAGGTATAAATTATTAGCTATTGTAATTTGTTTAATAAAAAGTATTTTATTATTATGAAGACTATTTGTTAAAGAAAAGGAAGTATTAAATAGAAGAATGTTATATATAGTTTTTGTTATCACAGAAATGTTAATTGTTGATAAATTTAATAAGTTAAGTGAAAAATAAATATTAAAATTATATAGAAGTGAAAGTTGAAAATGAAAAAGAAATTTTTAGTTTTTAGTAAAAATTTAAAGGGAATATTTGAATAAATAAGTGGTTGCCATATTTTAGTAAGCCAGTTTTTAATTTTGGCTTCACCAATATATTTAAGAAGTGAAGTAGAATAGAAGATATATTTAATTGTTAATATTGTGATTTTTTGAGTTAAGTGTTAAAATGTTGAAAGCTTAAAAGACAATTGAGTTTGTAAAAAGAATATTAAATGTATTTTTTGTTAGATGAAGCATTTTTTTTGTTGTAATTAAAAGTAGTTATGAAAGTTTTTGTTGTTGTGTTTTAGATATAGATAAGATTTATAGAAGATATTCTAAAAATAGTTGTAATATTATATTGAAGAGTTTAGAAATTTGTTTGAATATAAGTTTTTTATATTTAATTAATAAAAGAAAGTTTTTAATTTTATTTGAAGCATTTCAAAAGTTGATTTAGTAGAATCATTTTCATCAAAATAGATACCAAGATACCATATAATTTTATATAGTTTACATATAGGTATTATTTAGTTATTATAATAAAAAGTTGATATAATAGTATTTAGTTTGTTTTTGTTTTAAGTAATATATAAAAAATCAGATTTAGTTAGATTAATTTCAATATTGTTAAGATTGTATAGTTGTTGTGTATTATTAAGAATATTTTGAAGAGTTTTAGAGTTTTTACTGTACCAAACAGTAGTATTCATAAAAGACATAGAATGTATAGTTATTGAAGAAAGTGATATATTGAAAATGATCTTAAGTTGTAAAAAGAAGATAATTTTTAGTAAATAATTATTATATTTATTATAAATATAAGCAAAAATTAGGTCAAAATAAATTTTTCAAAGAAGAAGAAAGTATGTTTCATCTTATTTAATATCTGATTTAATATAAACAGATGATGCAGTAATTATTCTTGCTTGTCAGTTTGTATATAGTTCGGTATTAAGTTGGATTCCTTTGAGAGAAATACTAATTCTTTTGCAAATATTCTGTAATCAAAATATGCTGATTTTATCAAAGACTTTGGACATGTCTTAAACATTATTCAAGCTTCTTTGTTAAAATATTTGTAATGTTTAATAGTATTATTTAGGATTTGGATAGGAATATGTATTAAAGAGTTTTTGGTAGCAGCAAAGTTAAGATTAGAAAGAAGTTTATTAGAGTTAATAATATAATCTAGTCTTTGTATAAAGATTTTAGTAAAGCATTTTTTTATTGGTTCTATAATTGAGATTAAGTAAACTTAATTAAATATAAAGTCATATAAAGATTTTATTGAAATAAGAAAAATATTAGATATTTTCTAATTAGATGAAATTTTTTGAAGCTAAAGACATTTGTTGATAAATAATTTATAAGAAATTTGACCAATAGGGCCCACATATTTAATATATTTATAGTTTGTTTTAAGAGAACTTGCAGCTTTTTAAAAAGAAAGATTTTGAATAGTAGTTTGCTATTCATTATCAGAGATATTATTAAAAAAGTTTTAATAATATATTTTAAGTTTAGGATAAGGTTAATATAGTTGGTAGTAATCAGATATATGTTGAATTTGTTAAAAGAGTATTTTATTAAAGTATTTAGTAAAGTGAGTATGAATAGCTTGTTTAATATGATCTTTTTTTGTTAATAAAGAATTATTAATTAAAAGTTTGTCAATATGTATACTATTATATTTTTTAAAAATGTTTTTAAAAAATTTTTTAAGGATATGATTGGAAAAGTTGATTACAATTCTTAATTTTTTGTTAAATTTCTTTTTGGATTTGTTGTTAGTAAAAAGTATTGAATACCAATTTAATTTGATTAAATTCTTGTTTGATTAAAAAATATAAGTTGTTAAAAGTTTGTAGTTCATCAATAAAATTTTTAAAATATTTGGTTTTGTATTTATTTAAAAGATTATAAAGTTGGATAATTGTAAATAGTTTTATAAATATTGTATTTGTTTATATCTATAAAAGAGTACATGTTATTTAAAAGATTTGTTATCTTTAATTTTCTAAATTATTTTAATGTTTTTGTAAGTAATATTTTTTAAAACAGTTTTAGTAAGTGCTTTAAGTATTTTATTTCAAATTATATTAAGTTTATTTTAATTTAAAATATTAAAAATTTGGTTTTATAATTGGTAAAGGCTTTGTAATATTTGATTTGAGTAATTTTTAATATTTTTCTTAGAGCAGAATTTTCAAAAAAAGTTTTTTTATATATATTGCTTAAGGGTTTTGTTTTGTTAATGGGTATCCATAAGCTTTTTGTACTAAATTTAGTACAAATTAAAAAAATCATTATACAATAGTATTACAATGAATTTTATTGATATTTTGCTAAAATATATATTAAATCTCATATTTTATTTATACAAAAAATTCAACCATATTTATATATAAAATTTTGTATAAATTAAACTTATATAAAAAATTATTTTAGGCATTTTTGCTGTACTTAATTTAGTACAGTAAAATTTTATAAATATTTTTGTAAATTATATAATAATAATTAAAAAATTTTTTTTTATAAATTGCTTAAGATCATATCTTTATTTTGATATATTTTTTATAAATTTAAAATATAATTACTAAAGCATTTAATATATACTGCTTTTAAAGCATTACAAGTACAATAGTATCTTGTTCTAGTACTACAATATTTACAATGCAATTGTAAATAAATGGTTTTACTATGTCTTTTCTTTTTTTTTGAAAAGTTTCCAAATTATGTTATATTTGAAATGTATTAAACATGTTTTTACTTCTGAATTTTCAATTATATTAAAATTTCCATTAAGCATTTCATGAGCTAATTCTCTTCTAAAATCAAAATAAGAGATATTATATACATTGTTATGTTATTTTTTATATATAAGAAAAGCATTAGCTTTTGCAATTCCTACTAAAAAAGAAAATATACACATTTGCCAATTTGATCCTTGCATAACATTATGAAATAATATCATATTATTACACACCTAATATATAATATATAAATTTTATATAATAGTAATATATTTTATATAAAACATATAATATAAAAAATTAACATACTTGATTATTAATATTCACAGCCCCTTTAGCTTGTAAGTATTCATAAAAGACTTTAGGTCTTGTAAATTTAATAGTTGTTGAGCCAGTATTATTTTTAACTACACGTTTAATCTTATCAGCTTTTGCTGTTGTAGATGCTGTTGCAATTATACATTAAGGTTTTCGATCTCATAAAGAAGCTGCTATTAATTGTATATCATCAATTGTTGTAACTTTTGATATACAAAATCTATAAGTACTATCAAGTTTTTCAACTATATCTTGTGGATAATTGATTGGCCATCCATGCCTTTTTTTTATTATTTTGCATTAATGCAATACAAAGTTTAGGTGAACTGAACCACCTATCACTAATTACTATATGACTACTACTAAACTATAGTTGTGTTAATCACAATACATATACTGTGGAACTACTGTAATTAAAAACAAATCACTTAATTTTTTTTTTTTTTTTAAATATTAAGGTGAGTATTTGTGATCCATGATTTTATTAATAATACATTCAGCTAATAGTTATTTTACAACCACATGAGGCAACCATAGAAAGAGTATACAACTAGCCACTCATACAACTTTAGTTATTGTCTAATTTAAGTAGTCTGCCTGAAAGTTCTATACTAGTTGCCATATCTGGAACCCACTTGTAGGTTCTCTATTTAACCACTCTATTCTTGTATTCACCCATCTACCTATATCTACCAAGATGCTTTGGTCGATACCAGTTCAAATATGCCATAGTCACTAAGTCTTTAAAGTGGTTCACTCATATGGGAAACCTTTGACCTTATACTAAACCTTCTAGAATCTTCTGTATTCCATTCTTATAGCTGACCTAATATCACTATGGCCAAGACCAATACTGGTGGTCAGGAGATACCATTAAACTGCTATGCCCTTATAGAGTTTACCCCAACCCTAGTACTGACTTCACAACATATCCTTACTACTTTGGTATTCAATTCAAGTTCTACCAAGCTGCTATTTCAGATAGCCCAAAAAGGTAGGTTGAAACCATACATCTCTGGTTTACATGTTTGCTGGCATGTGCCCTTTTTCTCTGAAACCTGGAAATTCTGGTGGCCTAGTTGGTTCATTCAGTCCCTTCTCAAAGACTAGCACATTTGCCCGGTTTCACAAGTTCTAACTCCATTTCATAAGTCTAGTCTTTACAGTAGCACTGTCGAAGGTTTGGATTACCTCTCTACTCAGGTCTTCTAAGTGGGCTTCCATTTTCCTATTTAGTTTTCTTGATTTACATGGTCTAAGGACTTATCTTGAGTTTACACTGCCCAGTACTGGTTTGTGTTCCCTTGTACAATATTGTACGAGTGCCTTAGACCTTCTAGTTATGCTAGTATGACATGGGTTACAGGTATCCTATCCCAACCAATCACAGAAGACAGTTAGTCGTAATATAAAAAGAATTGCAAATTTTCACTATCACTGGGATTTGAACTCTAAACCTGCCACTTGGGGGTTGACAACCTATCCACTTCACTAGGTCGCCACACCCTTTCATTTATTTTTTTTAATTTTTTTGTTTTCACAAGGTTCTAATTAAATAATGATATTTGTTAAACTATTAGCAAGAGTTTTCTATTCTTGTCCTACAGAATGTGGTTTTCATGAAATTTTGTACTGGCCTAGAATTTTATTTTCAGTACCTAACCATGAGTTTATTGACTTATCAATGCATAACATACTTCTGAGAATTACAGCCTTATCTAAGTTTGTATTAAAAGCATTAATAAAACTATAAATTGAAAATAATAGATCACTACTATCAGATATTTCTAATTCATTTTGGATCATTAATGTATAATGTAATACTATTTGTTCAAATCATAGAATACTCATCCAATACTGAAAATTAAATGGTAATAAAGGATGTGTATCTTGAGTTTTCTAATAACAACAATGATCACTCATAGGAATTATAGAAATTAACACCCAAAGCCCTAATCAGGTCATGTACTTATTGATATTCATATCAACCCAATTTGAATTTTTTCTTCCATATAAATTTATAGATTTAATAATGTTTTGTTCAATATAATTTATAGAAAGATATCAATGAAATATAGTATAAGGTGAGGCTAAATTAATAAATACAATGTTAATTTTACATGCATAGCTATATATTGGATGAATTGCATGTTAATCAATTTTTACTGATTTTTTTTACCATTTCACTGTTGTAGTTAGGTCAACTTCACTAATGTTACTAACATCACCAGCATTATCTTCCTCCTTTGAGCTATTTTTACTATATTCAGAAAAATTTTGTTGAGTGGTCAAAGTTTCTGCAACTTCATTATTTGAAGGAACTTGTTTTTTATAACGTAAATTTCCTTTATGAATATTTATAACCAAATTTCCATCTTCAACTTCATCAAACTTTACTTGAAATGTATGAGGTGCTTCAGTCGATTCTCTCATAATCCAACTATAAAGGCATAAGTTTTTAAACTTTCATCACTTTGTTGTATATATTGTGAAATAATATTTTTTAATAATACTGTTACTTTACAACTAACCTGTTTTCTAATAACTATTTTACTTGAAATTCATAGCATTGTTCAGATATATGTAAAAATAGTAAATGAATATACTTTTAAATTTTATATTTTTATAAAAAAAATTTTGAGAAACACAAAAGAATTGTATAATCAGTACTTTTGCGATTTCTTATATTAAAATTGCAAAATTAACAATAAAAGTCTCAGGATTAAGTAATTATATAATACAGTATTTAAATTGTAAATTCATTAAATCACTATTCAAAATAAAATACACTATTCACATACTATATAAAAATAATGTAAAACACTTTAGTTTTATAAAATCATTAAAAAAATCAGGTTAGTAATTAAACAAATAATATACCTTTTATATAGATTCTATAAAATCATTTATAAAACTTTACACCTCTTTGACTATAACTAGAAATATATTTTGGGCATAATATAATATCATTTAACTGGTTATCAACCTATTCGAGTTATATAATGAGTTATATAATACTAGTAAGTATAAAAAAGCTTTAGTTTTATTATTTGGGCCAATACAAAATCAAATAAAGTAAAATATAAAGAAAAAAAATAAGTAAATAATAAAAAATTTTACATTTTTTTTATATTTTTATTTTTTTTTTAATTAAAAAAAATTTTGAATCATTATTTAATATAAAAAAATAGTAAATAGCTTTTTAAAATAACTTTTATGATGAATATAAAATTTTAAATAATTAGGTTTGCATGTATATCAAGATCAAAACTGTATTGCAAATCAATCGCATATATGGCGTTGTATTGTGTGATGCACATTTATAAGAGATGCTTAAATTACGCAAGTAGACTCTATACATATTACAAATATATTGTATAAATTTTTAGGTGACAGTTGGTCACACTCATTGTTTAATCACGATTTTAAATCTGTACTAAATTAAGTATTTTGTACTAAATTTAGTACAGCTTACAGATACTCATTAATGGATATAGAAATTTCAAGAGTAATAATTTTGTAATCTGATTCAGATGAAATATTCTCAAGAATATTAATGTATTCAATTTGAGTTATATTTAAGTTTGTCTATATTTGGTTAATTTTTTTGTTAGAAGTTGAGCAAAAAAATGTAAAGTTTTTTTTAAAAAATATTAAAGTAAATACTTGTGACTAGGATTTTATTAATAGTTATATTTGGCTAATAGTTGCATTACAACCATGGGAAGCAATCATAAAAAGAGTATACAACTAGCTACTCATACAACTTTAATCATTGTCTAATTTAAGTAGTCTGCTCAAAGGTTCTACACTAGCTGCTATATTTGAAACCTGCTTGTAGGTTCCCTATTTAACTACTCTAGTTTCCATATTCACCTATCTACCTTTGCTTACCAATGACCCTGGCTAATGCTGGTAAAAATATACCATAGACACTAAGTTTTTAATGCAGTTTTTTGAAATCTTTAACCTTATACTAAACCTTTCAGAATCATTTATATCCTATTCTTACAACTAACCTAGTATTGCTATAGCTGAGACCAATACTGGCAGTTAAAGTATAATATTAAACTGCTATGCCCTTGTAGAGTTTATCCCAATCTTGGTACTGACTTTACAATATATTCTTACTACTTTGATATTCAATTCAAGTTTCACCAAGCTGTTATTTTAAATAGCCCAAAAAGGTAGACTGTAACTATATACCTTTGGTTTACATGTTTGCTAGCATGTACTTTTTTTTCAAAATTCAGAAATTTCAGTAGCCTGATTGGTTTATTCAGTTTCTTTTTAAAGACTAACACATTTGCCTAGTTTTACAAGTTTTAGCTCTATTTTATAAGTTTAGTCTTAATAGTAGTACTGTCAAAAGTTTAAGTTATCTCTTTACTTAGGTCTTCCAAGTGGGCTTCTATTTTTCTACTTGGTTTCTGTGATTTACACAGTCTAAGGACCTATCTTGAGTTCATACTACCTAATACCAATTTGTGTTTCTTTGTACAATATTGTATGAGTGCCTAGACATAAGTTACAGATATCTAATTCCAACTAATCACGAAAGACAGTTAATCATAACACAGAAAGAATTACAAATTTTTGACATCACTGGGATTTGAACTCTAGACCTGCCACTTGGAGGTTAACAATCTGTCTACTTTACTAGATCACCACATCTATCAAATATAAAGTTTAATGTTGCAGAGAAAAAAAGTTGATATATATCTTTAAATTAGTGACTAATTAAGTATTTAAGAATTTGAGATTCTAAAATAGAGGTGTTTTTTGAAGGGTTTCTATCTTGATGAGAATTTGGAATACTGTTAAAGTTATTAAGTATCATAAGTTGATAGTTAGAATTGTTACAAAATAAAATAATTTGTTCTTGAATTTTGGCATATAGTTGTTTTTTCTCTAAAGTTAGAATATATATTTAAAGAATACAGATTGAGTTATATTTAAAATATAAATCTAAACCAATTATAATTGTATGTTCTAGCAATATATTTAGAAATTCTTTTATGTATAAAAATTCCGACACTTGCTTGATAGAAATTTTCATAAGAGCTCCAGAAGCTGTTATAATTTTGAAGATTTTAGTTAATAAATTTTTTTTCTTTTAAAGTAAGATGTATTTTTGATATTTTAAAAATATCAAAGTTATGTTAATTAATAATATCAATAAGTAAGATTTTTTTTGAATATTGAAGTAGACCATTAATATTTAAAGAACTGATATTGAGATTATAGATATAAAAGATATTTAAAGAAAGGTGATATTATTAGTTATAATAAGATTAAGTAAATGTAATATAGAAGAGATGAGATTGTAATATTAAGATTGTTAGTATTAAAGAAATTAGAATTTGATATTAAATTAAAAACTAAATATTGTTAATATAATTTGATAGATAGATTATAGTATTGATAATAAAGTAATTTAGAAAGAAGTTCATGATTTGGTATTATACTGTTGTTTAAGTTTTTATAGACATATGTTTCAGTAAGTGTAGTATTGACAAAGATTTTAAAAAGTTTATTAAACTGATTATTTTTCAGATGTTAAAGAAAGCTTAAAAGTATTTGATTAATTAGTAAGGTTAGAATATTATAATAAGTTAGAAAGATATTATAACAAAAAGAATCCTTGAAGTTAGAGAAGGAGTTGGCCTTTAAAAATGATAGTGAGTTTTTGTAAGGTTGCTTACTATTTTAAGCTCAGCTTGCACAGCTGCAAAAGATATTGTAGTTTTTTCTGTATATTAAGCCTGATTATTATAATTTTAGTTTTTTGCATAAATAGGCTTTACTATTATTTACTTATATTATTCTCTTCTAAAAATGGCCTACTATTTGTAGAGTATATTATAATTTTAGAAGCAACAGCTGCTTTAATATTACTTGCAAAAAAATTTATTGAAAAGGATATTAAAAGGTAATAGAATTAAAAAGATTATGATTATTGATTTTTTTTGAAATAATATATTTGAAATTCTTAATAATAAGAGATTTAGCTTGAGGATAATAGTCTTCATCATATTTTTTTCAGATAAAAGAGAAAAAGAGATTTGTATTACTTTGTTTAAGTATTTCAAAATAAATAATAACTCTGACAAGAAAATGAATATCTGTAATTTGGTTTATAGTTTTTTAATAACTTGGTCATAGCTTAGATTGAAGATTTCATTATTTTGAGCTGCTGCTTGAAGAAAAGCTTTAAAGTATTCATAGAAGTAGTAGGTTTAAAAATTTATATTATAATTCATTTTGTTAATTTTCATAAATTATTTTTTAGCAGAATTAGCAAGTTCACAAAAAAATTTAATTGGAGTTGAGATTTTAAATAAAGCTGAATGTTTATTATCTTTGTAGAAAATTGAAAAATCTAAAATAGAATGAGTTTATACTAGTTGATTAAATTTGGTAGGTGGGTTTGATTTATCAAAGACAGAAGCAGTAAATTTTTTAAAAAATTGGTCAAAGTAATATATAGAAAGATTTTGAAAGTTGTGTTTAGTATCAGATGACAGAACTGTACATTTGTGTTTATCAGAATATTTGCAAATATAAATATGAAAAAAAAAGTTTTCTAACTAGTAAGATGTACTCTTAAAGAAATATGATAGATTCAATAATAAAGAATTAGAGTAGTAGTTTTTTATGCTCTTCAGTATATTTGGTTGCAGTTTGATATTTGAAAAAATTAAAAATTTTGGTTTTGATAATATTAGAAAAATAATGTTTGTAAATTTCAAAAAATTTATCAAACCAATTTTTAAGAATAGCTTTATATAGTTTAAGAAAAGATATTTAAAAAAAGTTTTTAAATTTTTTTATATTAATATTAAAAGAAATATTAACATTTAATTTATTATTGTTTTGTATTTAGAAAGAAGCTTTGTTAATTAAATTGTAACTAATATTATAATGTAAAGTGAAATGAAATAGTTAAAGATTTAAATTATTTGTAAATTTTTTTGCATAAATAGTTTTGTAAATAGAATTAAGAAAGAGATATAGATGAACAAAATTAATAACAACTTGAAGTTAATTTTGAAATATATATGATAGAATAGTATAATAAGATTAATAAATTTTTTTTTTTTTTTTTAACTCTTTGGCAGCTTTGCCAAAATCCTTTATTAAGAGAATTGCATATATGATTATACAAATATTAGTTTAATTTTTTAGGTTTAACATCTCCTGGCTACTGTGTTAGTGTTCAGAGGTAATCTGCCACACTAGAGTGAGTTAATACTCACTACTAAAGGGCTATTCAGGCTAGCCTTTGAGGCCATTCCAGTAAGACCTCTTGTTATTATTAATTAATTCCCTAACTGTATTCCTCTATATGTCTTTTATGTTTTCACTTTCTGTTTCCTTTTTCTTCTTTATATCTTTTATTTTATTTTTTTTAAGTTTTATCTCTTGATCTT